GGGGAGAGCTTCCGTTCAGAATGTTTGCAAAATGCAGACCAGCACTTCAAATATTGAGATCGTTCATGGATCTCGAGAATCCAAAACATAAATGCCATATCCTGATATCCATGTCGCATATAACCTCCATTCGCAATGTTGGCTTTCACTCTTTCCCCATATTAATGTTCTGTATAGCCTTCGGGCATTGGTCCCAACCCCAACCAGCACAATCCAAAAGCCCAATACACCCTGGAAACCCCAGCTTCTCGAAATCAGAGGCATTAGTACTTAGTGTAGAAGTAGAAAGACTCAATTGGTGCTTGTCATTTCTATGTCGGCGATAGTACTGAGATCCCGCATTACTGAAGTGTAACAGTCACGGGTAGACGCGAAAGATGCATCCCATGATAAGATAGACTGTAGAGATCCGGATCGAAATTGTTCGTGTTTTTCTCGATCCAATAAGCCACATTTTCTCGCAATCAGACAATCAAGGTAGCGATCTGCCGATGTGCTGAATTGTATCTTTGGTAAAATAGACACACCAGATTGGAGATAGACATCTGTATTCATTTCCTTTACCTCTGCTAGTTCCTAGGGCCTGCAAGACTGAGTATGTAAGTAGTAACTACTCTGCGAACTGAAAATGAAAGGACACCTCAACCTTAAAAAGATTCTTCTTCGCCTACGACTTTTGTTATTTAGCTTGGAAACAGATAGTGGACGTAAATATTGGGGACCAAACTGCTGTACCATGGAACAACGAAACTGCTTCATAGATTCCAAAGTTGGAGCTTCCCATAATTTCAAATAATCATCGAGACTATCAGCCGGAGAGCCATATTTCAAATATCTTAACGATGAAACCACCTTCGGGAGCGGGGAAGACCTAACTTTTCCTGTGCAATCAGGAAAGAGGCCCCTCTGTAAGAAAGGGTTGTGTATTACTACGCTTGAGGAAATGCGGTCGAAGAGGACAAGCGACATGCTGAACCTTCGCTCAAATTGCTCATTGTAGTAGAAAGAGCCCACTTGGTTTGACCTATCTCGCCTGAACTCATTTGCAGGCCAGAATGAGTCGAGCATTAGCCGTTTATGGGTAGCGCGGAAGTCCTTCGGGACATTGGGACGCCAACCTGGCCAAGAACCCCGGGGATGCTCCTGCAATTGGTTCAATTACTTTATGGCCATCGCTTGCATCTGATACCAGACGACGGCTGCACATTCGAGCTCGTCGCAGGCATCGCTGCCAAGAATATTCCTTAAGGTGCTTCGCGCAGCGATAGCGATAGCAGTAGTGCGCAGATTGCGTCTAGACGGGTTTGAGAGCGAGGAGTTATTCTCGTCCGTGGCGGAGCGAGGCAGATTGTGGCAGATCGTAACTGCGATGTGACGAGGTCGTCAAACGAGAGGGTTGACCAGTGGGGTGGAATAATACGGGAACCAGTTCATTCTTAATGTACTGTAACAGTTCATGATAAAATGTGGCAAGTGACCTTTTTTTCTGGGCATGTCTGGTGAAAAAGCCGTATCTTACCAAGCCTTTCACCAATTTTGACAGTTGCAAGCTCAATAAGCACAGAAAAGGCACATCTAGCATTACATACGGTTGCGAAATCACAACATGTGTTCATTCAAGGAAATGAAGTCACTTAAATGAACCCCTTTGAAAGGCCCAAATCGCATGGGAACTAATCTGGCAACTTCAAATAATCGCCGTGGCCCAAAAATCACTTTATTCAACGTTTTGGGACTGTACACGTCACTGTCCCTGAAAATCTGAGAGAGACACAGTTGACACTGTGCTCAACGATGTGGTACAACTCTCCTCAAACCCTAGCGGGCGAGAGGCTCGGAGGATGAGCCGAGGGAGCTCGCGACGCGAGACGCGCGGCGCGCGGTAACCGATCGGACGAGCTCGCGAAAAGGGAGTGGCTCACTGGCCGGTTACGCGCAGTCGCCCCGTGGTGCGTGAACGGGAGCGACCGGTAACGGGTTAGAAGCCATCGCGCGCGATAGACAACCGAAACGGACGTATATAGGCGCGAAAGGGACGGGGGCGAGCTTGCCCCAGTTTACTGGTGGGGACGGGTGTCAGGTCTTAACCCCTCAGAGGGACGCCTCGGACACCTGTCCCAGTATACAGTACCAGCCGCCTAGTGCGTACCAGATACTGTACGCCATTAAAAAACTAGCGCCTCAATTCCTAATTACCGCGCGGACGCTGCGGCTACACGTGTGTACTACTGTACACACGCGCTGCTTACAGACTACCGCACGGATGCCACGTGTGCTAGCGTACACGCGTCATACTGGTAGACTACCGCTTGGCCGACACGTGCACTACTGTACACGTACGCCAGATTACGACCGCTCAGCACGCGCGCGCTCCCTACACGTGGGCACACCCGCCCACGTGTCCACCGTGCACGGCCGCACTGTTAATAATCTCCCCGCGCGCGCGTCCGTCGTTATACTACAAACGACAAAACCTTCGCCACCACTACGATATGTCACTCATGTTCTGAAATGCTGCTGCTGCACGCATCGACCGAACTAGGCGCCTCTCTCGACGCGATTGTCGCAGCTTGCCTCGTACTATGCTGCGCTTCGCAGCGAGAGAAACCAACCAACGTTTTTCCTTCGCCGTCTCACAGTAAAAGTCTTTGTTCATCTCTCGGCTTTGCAATTGTCTCGTTCTACTGCGTCGCCGTTCATCACGTCGTTTGAGAGCGTCCAGTACTGACTCCAACGTTAAATGGGATCTAGTTCTAGTCCCAATTCGCACAGTGCCACTCTCTTGCACTTAGGCATCGCGAAGTAGTGAACGCCCGCCGCGCGCAAATGATCGCAAAAGAGCATGTAATTCGACATTTCCGTTATTCCCTTCAACACAGCTTCCCTCAAACAGACTACACAGTGCAAAGACACCTGAAGTTAGGCTTTCAGGGTTCCATAGCCCTGTTTTAACGAATCCAATCTTAATGTTGGGACAAATAACCGCCCTAGCGTAAGCTTGGCTAATGCATTTGCCAATGTCGAATGCGTTTAGAATCCTTTTCCTTAATGCAGCACTGCGCATCGCTTGCTGGAGATATGACTTGTACGAACCGAAAACAGTAACATCAAGAGGCTGTAACAGATGGGAAGTGTGCGAAGGAAGCGCAATGACGACTATGTTGCTTTCTTTTAGCAGCTGCAGAGTACGAAATTGGACATGTGAACCATATCCATCAATTACCAGCAGCAAGTGCTGATGGTTTGCCCTCAGCTCAGCCGTTTCATCAATAAATTTTTGTGCCCACAGATAAATAATTTCAGTGTTGACCCCGGGTATTTCAAGTTGAAACAGGTAACAAGGGAGTAAAACGTCCCTTAAAGTCCGAATTTGTCCCTGCACATGGCGATAGTGGGCTTTCTTTCCGGGAAATACGATCACGGGTGTCTACCCTACACCTGCGGCATAGACAACCGGCATCACTGTTACTCTGTCAAGCTTTCCCTTTGTGCGAATCCCTGTCTGCACTAGTGGCATTTTTTGGGCTCTATACCCTTTTCATCGGCTTTTTCCAACCATCTTTTCGAATGAAGCACCTGATTGGTCTATATTAAAGATCAACTTACTATCTCTAATGCGAAAACGATCACATGCTACTTGAACGCGAGCAATGTGTTCCGCAAAAACGCTTTTTGAGAGGGCCTCTCCACGGTTTTGTTCGATAACGCGCACCGCTTTGTAGTTTGCCCATGACGTTTTGCCATTTGGTCCACCCACGGCAGGCAAGGGCAGTTGTTAACGAATTTTATATCGTGTTGTCGAGAGTGGGGCAACAGACCCACGTAGTGAGCGACGAGGTTTTGTGTCTGGCAGCGCGTCAACGGGGTGTTGTGGTCGACGAAGTGCTTCATAGCTTCTGCAATGGTGGATTCTTCAGTTTCGTGTAGCATGCGTGGGCGCCCAGCAGAACCGCATTGAATATGAATGTCACCATAGAATTGCGCTTGATACTCCGGGTAAGCCCTTGTCTACTTCTTGCAAAATCGCCTGAGAGTAGTTGCTGGTATTCCATGGCTCTTTTCCAACGTTTTTCAAGGTACCTCATCACTGAAGCGGCGAAAAATCGCCTTCCAAAGGTCGTCTCGATAGTTTTCCATGATTTGAAGGGCGATGATGGGGGCTACCGATCGATATGAAAAGCATATTACGTTGTAATGGCATGCCACAGCCTGAATTTTTGGCCGACACGCGGTAATAACGGGCTTTGGCATGGCGCCAAAACCGTAAAAGGCGGGCAGTTTGTAATCGTTGTACTGAGTTACAGAGTTTGCAAGTGGCGGGGGCTGTTCGGGTGATTCTGTTTCGGAAAAGTGCGGCAAAATGGGTAGCAGTGCATTGCCAAAATAATTTATGTTTGCCAAAATAGTTGCCGAACTGTTAGTTGGGACTCTCCAAGAAATATCAGGTGCCGTGCTTGAAGCGCCAACTAAATGCGTACACGTTGCACTAAAATGAATTGGAACCCCTTGACCAGTGCAGACGCTCAAATAAAAAGTGTAATCTTGTTTCTTCAAGGTTAGACTTGTGTTGAAGATCAAACGAATTTTTAATGAGGTTTGAGCATTTTTTTGAACAGAAAGTCAGTGTGCTACAAAGGCTTACAGTTACCAGAAAATGAAAGGAAAATAGCGGAGGCCGGTAAGCGGACTGCGCGCTAAAGAGCACGACTTGTGACAGGGCACGAAGTGCGGGTGGGACGGTGGGAAAAAGCAAGCGACGACTTGAGGGAGAAAGAGACTTGAAGGCTCCGAGGCGTCGCCTTAAATCCTACTTCCAAGGACTGTTCCAGACATTCGGTAAACTATGCTTGAGTCATGATGAATCTTGATTTCATGGCAGCACGGTAGAACAAATGGTGGAAGCCTCCCTTATCTCACCTTGGTTCACAAATGTGTGTGTGATCGTCTAACACTATTCACAGTGTCAAAGAGTGGGCGTTTTTATGTTTCCGGTAAGTATTTCATGAAAACCCACTCGATGATGGGGGTGGTGTATTTATTTGCGTTTCGCGTACTGCATGCCTTATTCCCGTTCGTGCTCTAAAGATATTACGAAGATAGGGATGGCATGTACTGTAGCGCCATCGCCGCATCCAGACCGAGAAAATACACAGCAATGTGTACAGCAATGTATACAGCAATGCGTGGTAGCTGCTGGACACGTGTAAACACCAGCAGGGATTTCTGAATGCACACGTACATTGCCAGCATTCCAATACCAGTGCAAGCACGGGCTTTGCATTTACGATTGTCAGTACAGGTGTGTACTGCACACACACACCTGTATGTGGTAAAAGGGAGTGCCCCCTGGCCAGGAGACAGGTGGGGGGGGGGGGTGCACAGTATATGTAGTAGCGAAATCCAACACAGTAAATGCAACACTGTCGGTTGATACGCATGGACGCCAAACTTCGGTTGGGCTGAAGGCAAAGGTATAAGAATATGAGAATATGAGAATAGTCCACTAACATGTGAAGTCAATCAATAGATCAGTAAAAAGGAAAGCAAAGAGTCTCAAACCAAGACTTAACAAAAGAGTGTCGCGCTAAGGCGCTATGCTCGACCTGGTTACCGCGGATACTGACACCTCAACCAGCTGTGCATTCGAGTGTCTTCTTCCGCCGACTACCACTGGTTTGAACGTGGGTAACTTGCCCGAAAACTCCTCCACGCCGTCTAAGACTTGTAATGTAGACTTGACTCTCCTACCAGCAACCGGCATTATGGCCTCTGCGATCGAGTAAGGCACAGGTAGATCAGCCAACACTAGCTGAGGGGATATCTCCACTTTCTGTCTAGCGTCTATACAACCATATCTGCCGTGATATTTAGCCACATCGCGCAGCATGGTCAAGGCTATGACAAGTTGGCTAACACAGTCATTCAGACCCTCGGCATCAGCTGTCGCACCAATACCCTCTGGGGTACTTCCAAAACCCAACCTACTTACAACTTCTTCGCCACAAACTAATGAGCTTAGTTGGGAAAGTAGCTCGTAGTTTTCGATATCTCGCATGCTAGCCGTCACTCCCACTTGCATGGCCACTGGGTCAAAACCAAGTCCTAGCGAGAGAGTCCTTGAGATTATCCGCTTACCCCTGCATAAGTAGACTGCCCCGCTCGAGATAATCAAGTAACTCTTCCTCCCGGTACCCCATTTCCGACCCGGGTCAATGCGTACGTATTTCATAGTAGCGGTTTTCATCTCAAACGCAGACCTCCAGAAAAGGCTTAACATCGACGCCACAGAGATTTGACGTTCTCTACTTAGCTCATGCCTAGCTGCTACCTCTCTCAGGATGTCTGCAACTGTGTCTGACACCCTATTCTCCAACGCCCAACTCTTGACGTCCTTGCTGCTCAGCAATTCGGCGACCTCAGGGTCGGGTACTTCAGAGAGAGTGGCGGCTGGTATAAAAGCTCTCTCGCCTACGGTGATGTCTGGGACGCATGAATCATGACCGATGCCATCGGTTTGTTGGAAGTCGTTAGTGACATGAAGCACTCCGTTGCGACATTGTAAAATAACGGCCTCATCAACTCTGTTCTGAAAGCCACGCAGCATGATTTTTCCTGAGGTGAGATCGTCGCCGACTGCTGACGGTCGGCATGGTAGCTCATTGACATTATAAGGCCCTCCTCTACTATAATGGTCTTTGACAGCGCCAAGCACATACAGCCGGCGCTCAATGTAGCACGGCAGACAGTTCCAGGCGTGGCCAGCACCTCCGCGGTCAGTTGCTGTCATGATTAGATCTGCAGTCGTCCCCAGCCAGAGCACATCTCGCTCATCTGTCTCAGGATGGACTTCACCATCTATGTCTGAACAGGCCCCCCGATCTATAGACACACCTCTGAAGCCTTGGGCATGGCGCCATAGTATGAACGAAGTCGAAACACAGACCCAAGCGGTAGTCGCTATCACGAAGATGCTGCTCGACTCGCCCGGATTCTCAGTTACAGCGCGTACATGGTGCATGAGGCCCGCCAACCCTGACGCTACAATCGTAGCATCGAAATGCTCTGAGGTGACTGTATACAGCTCGTCTAGGGACAGTGACACTCCGATCTCTGGATCGATACGCTTTGAGGTGCCTCTCAAAACCTCGCCTACGGACTTTTTCTGTCGGGTCCTAAAGATCTCTGGCACGAAAGGTAGAGGCTGGAATCGCCGTTTCTTGGGAGATGCAACACTGCCCAAGTGAGGACGGGTTAGCGGCTTCTTGAAAGATGCAGCACCGTCCAAGTGAGGACTCAGAGGATGATGCATCCCACGCGGCGGAGGTTCTATCTTGGAAGATGCAGCAAAGTCCGAGTGAGGACTCAGAGCATAAGGCGGCGGAGGTTGTATCTTGGAAGATGCAGCAAAGTCCAAGTGAGGACTCAGAGCATGAGGCGGCGGAGGTTGTATCTTGGAAGATGCAGCAAAGTCCAAGTGAGGACTCAGAGCATGAAGTATGGCATGCGCCGCAGGTTGTATCTCAAAGTCTCTGGGAGGAGTAGCATTCGTACCATGGAGGATCCTTCTGCGTACCAAATCGATAATGGAGCCAGTGACAGTGCTCCAAACATGGTCCATCGGGTGAGCACTGGCTCGATTGGCTCCAAATGTCGCGTCTAACGACGCATACCCATCCTCTGGACTCTCACTACGAAGCGTGTTAAGCCTCTTCATCTTCGAAAGGTATGCCTCCCACGCTTGTGACTTTTCTCCCTCCCATCTCTCTCTCATGTACCTGACACCCGTCCCGGCTAGGTTCAGAGCAAGCGGCAAACCAGCACACAATTTCAATATTTCGCTCACCGCCTTTTTGCATCTCGGATCATTAGCTTCCTCCGGGTTCGCCCCGCTTGCAAGCATGAGCATGTGAACTGAATCGCTCCCTTCCCTTTCCCTCGGCTCGAAAGTCACTCGCTTACCGACCTGTTTCAGCTCTGAGTCCCTCGTGGAATACAGAAGTCTGCTCCTCTCTCGGATGTCTCCTGCAGTGTCAGCGAGAATGGACAACTTCTGAAGAATACACGCATCTATATCATTCACGGCCCACACATCATCAATAATGAACAGGCATACACGTGTGTTGAACCATGCTCGCATCTTGGTCAGTACCCTGCTCAACTCGGTTTGCTCTCGCATTTTTGCAGACGCCTGGTTGCCACCAGACGCCTCTACGGCTATACACAGTTGCTCAATCAGCCGCCCTACGCTGGCGTCTTTCCCCAAGGACATGAAGTACACTCCGCCTGAAAACCGAGCCTTGATGTCATCGTCGTGCGCAATCGCTCGAAGAGCGCATGTCTTCCCGACTCCGCCCTTCCCCGTTGCCGTTGCTCCTATACTTGTATTCCTATCGGTACTTAGCACGGCCTCCTTTAGCCGTGCCTCACACGTATTCGGTGATCCATCGATCCCCCGAGAATTCAGTTGCAAATATATTTCGTCGGGATTGTGCTCTGCGTGTATACAGGGCGTGAACACATCAAGCGTACATCGTGCGGTGGACGTGACGGCAGCTTGGGTTCCAACTTGGCCACTTGCATTCAAAACTTCTCTCACTTCATCACTTGAATCCTCCTCACTATTCTTTTTCACCCACAGAAACACTCGCTCCACAAGGATTTTCCTTGCAAGATGGCTGAATTCATCTTCCAGCAGGTTCGTTGCCCTTTCGTCGTTTTCAATCCCAGTGATACCTGCCAGCTCTTCTAGCTCTCTCTTCACCATTTCCGTGCTCGCTTCGAGCTGTCGTTCCTCGCTATAAAACTTCTCCACTTCAAAAATATTATTTCCTTCATCATCCTGGTACCGAGCGGGCTCCAGCTCTCTGCATTCACGAATACTTAGTCTGTAAAACACCGGAATCAGTGTCGGTGCCCGCATCCCACTCCCTATCGCCTCACTCCGTCGGCGTAGGAAGCAACGCAGTTCCCTCATCGTCCACTTTCGAGCCGCAAACTCGGGAGAAAGTATAAAAACACCGACCTTCGCAGACACCAAAGCCTTCATCATTTCATCCTCTCCGCAGTCCCCGGGCGCCATCGAGATTCTGTCGAGGAAGCAATTTAAACCATGAGCTTGCAATTTCTCGAAAAGGGGACGTGCGATGTGTAGCTTGTCCGGGCCAGCATGGCTTATGAACACATCGGTAGAGTGCATCTTTCTCCGATTTCTATATGGTCCCGTCTCTTGCCGGAAGCTTTCCTGCATTTTTTCTGTGAATAGCTAAAGACAAGTTGGTGAGGTGCGGAGTGTGTTATGCGTGAGAACGGCACCGGCTGTTACAAAAACAGAGACGCGAAGGTTGAAGGACGCGTTCAGCGCGTGGTACTCTTGTCGTTGTCGACGAAAGCGGAAACAGTGGCGACGGTCGTGTGGGTCAGTAGGGTGAGCTGATGTGCTTTCGCTTGTTCTTCCGTGAATGAATGTTTGTGTGACTTCTTCGCGGAAAGACGCACTTAAGGGTGGAGCGATTTCCTAAAACTTTACGCTTGTCAAAGAAGAAGGCGGCTGTTGAGCGGATTGTTGCTGCGTTGTTGGCACATCGTGAGTTTAGTAAGGCTGCTCCCGCTGTGCGGTATTTTTTAGTTGTAATTTCAAGGGTTTCTGCATTGTTCCGCGCAAGCTTCCAAGTGGAAGCTTGGCGGCTCTCAAACGGGGAAGGAAGGGTGGAGGCACTGAGAGAGAAAGATTCCCTACTGTCGCTGCACTGTCCACAGTGCATTCTAGCGCCATGCGATGCTGTTGACAGCATCACCTCCCTCCACATCGGTGCACGCGCGTTCACGCCCCCGTCTGCCGCGCCGTACATCGAGATTCGCGTCCCGCTTGAGCCAACCATACGACGTGCAGCGTGCCGGAAAACCTTGCGCAACTAGCGCACAGTCTGACAAGCTGGGCCTGGTGCGGCTAATAGCGCGTGAACCCATCATTCGTTGGGTATGTGCGCACACAGTGCAGTGGTAGGGAGCGGGATGCTTTGGCCAAACATTTAAGAAGCAGGGAAAGGATGGAAGGATGGCAGACTCGACAGAGAGGGCGGAGGGGGTGGGTTATGTGGAATGGTGTAAGGCATCGAAAAAATAAAAGCAAACGCGACCTGTCCAGCTGGACAGGTGGACACGAGTGACAACGCCAGCGGCTAGGTTAGGTCAGGAGCCCTGACCTGATAACTTGTACTGTACTTGCGCTCTCCTGGTCCTGAGTGAGGACCAGGAGCGCGCAAGTACAAGTTATTACAGTATGGGGGTCTGTAAGAGGCAACAAGGAAAAGCTACTTACAGAAGCCGAAGGATACTGTATGGTGATCGGTGAACTGTAAGGGTGAGAAATTCAACTAATTTCTCACCAACCAAAAAACGTTAGAAATTCAACTAATTTCTAACGTTTTTTTTGCCCACTGTATCCCCTGTACTGTATCCCCTGTACAGATCTGTACTGTAATATGTACCGTCGTTGTAGAGACTCGTCGAGCCGAGCATTCCCTCTTCCTTCTGTATACTCAGGCCCTGAGGGCCTCCTTTAACTGCTGCAGCGATGTGTGGAATGAGCCGCTTGTTGGCGGCTCGGCGTGAATGCTGGTTGCTCAAAAAGGACTTGATGCCACACCTGGGGCCGTTCGAGGACGTTGCCACCTCCTTTTTCACAACGTGCACCGCGTGTGCCTTGCAAGTGCAAAGTCGGTAAGCAGGGTGGCGGGCGCGAGAGTGGAGTGCCCTGTCTTAAAATTCCTGCCCTCGAGCTAGTGTACAATACTGCACCGTCATTAATGAGCGTTCTGATCAGAGACGCCCGTGCACGACCGATCGGCGCCGCCTCTCGAAACAGCGCGGAGGGCGTGTCCTTCGGCGCCGTGCACGCGGTCAAAGAGTAGCCGCGGCATGCCCCGCCCGGCTCTTGCGAAACGTCTTGCGAAAGGTACAGCCTCGCGCCCCGCGCCGCGGTTAGCCTCCGGCCGCGCGGGGCGGCCCGCCTGGCTCCCGCCAGGCGCGCTGGGTGTGACGCGCCGCGCCCTTCCGCAATTCCGCTGACGCCGCCGATATTCCCGCCGCGTCCGCCGATA